AGGAGAGCACAGGACTTGCTGAAGAGCAGGGCTTGCCCAAGACAAGGTCAAATGACTGGTGTTTGACTGGAGAGAGGGGGAAAACCTGGGAGCAAAGGTCAGGCAAGGCCAGGGTTCTGCTGCTTCGCTGGGTGGAAGCAGAAACTGCCAGGGGAGATGGAAACAGCCACAAAGGGAGCCTGAAAAGCCTTATTTTAACTCTTCATTGTATTTGGAGGAGTCAGGCCTGGGGAGACAAGCACAGGACAGGGACAGGAAGGGGAGAGGCACCACCACCAGTCAGCTGAACGAACGCCAAGGGGAGTTGTGGCTGACAGAACTGGACATGAATGGGAAAAAAATACATAAATGGACACAATTCCTCATTATATCCCCAGTCATGCTGCAGTTCTGCATTCTTAAGGTACTACAGGCACCATAATAGAGCAACAGGGCAACCCAGGAGTTTTTTTTCAAGCAATGCTCTTCCTTCTGAAAGACACAGAAATATTAACCAAGGGTACACTACTGTCCTTCCTATGTCAATTCATATAAAAATATCAAATGACTCAAATTTCTCCAGAGGTAATTCATCATCATGCTTAACTGACTGTGCCATGACTAAAATGACACCGTGCTTCCCCTACTTACAGAATAACTTGCAGAGGGCAGGACCATTAACTCAACCACCGAATCAGACACTGAAGCCAATTCTGAAAGTAAAACCTATGAATGATTCAGAAGCATCAGAGTTTGGTGTGAAAGATGTTCCTCTGAAATACACACACACAGTGGCTTTCACAGCAGTCTGGTTAGGAAGTGCTGCTTATCAAAGTTACCAGTTCTTATCTTGGGAGACTTCAGTCAAGAGCAAAGCCATAACCTCATCCTCAGGCTTTTTCTTCTTTTATAAGCTACATACTTGGTATTTTTTTTTAAAAGGAAAAGTATGCAGTTAAAATACCTAAATTTAGCATAGAAAACTTCACATCTGAGAAGCATTTTTAATAAAGTGCCTCGAGTGCAAGCCCAGCAAGTCTCCTATTCAACCATCAGCCACAATGAAGCCGATGGGATTTGGTCCACTCCCACGCTGACAGACGCTGTTTGGTTTAGCTTCTTAAAAGTTTTTAAACAAAATTCCTTCTTCAATCACTTTCAAGGGAGCACACACAAACTAGTTCCACCCACCAAGGGCTATGGGAAAGCAGCTCAGCATCCCGAGGCACCAGGCCAGGGAGGGAAGAAAACACTTAGCAAGTCCCTCATCTCTGTGACGACGGTGAAGTGGCCAAGAAGCAATGAAAATGGGCAAAGAATTTACATCTTCCAGTGTTCAAAATACAACAGAGAGTCAGTCTACAGGTTAAAAGTGTATTCACTGTGCCTTCAGGCAAATCAACAGGTGATTATAAAGATCAGGATCGTGGTATTTTTCAAAATTAAGACAGAAGTTTGGGACTTGGCTTAAACAGGAAAAGACCTCGAATGTGCACATTTCCACTCTGGAACAAACTGACCTGCTGAGTGGATCAAAACTACCTTAGAAATTCTAAAAGGTAGGAACATGTATGTTCAAGGTGTGTGTTTTGCTTTTGAAATCAAATTCAGATTTGTCCATTGACCTGACGTGGAAAAAGACACAGAGCCTAAAAACAAAAGTGTGAGAGTTTGTGGGTATAAATTCAAAATATATTTGCTACGTAATATCAGCAACTATTAATAATAGAGCAAGTAAATAATATTAAACCAAGAAAAACTAGTGTGAGGGAAGAAATTTTTGGAAAGTATCAACAGTTTTGAAGATACTCCCCGAGAGAGAAGGGTTTGACATCAGACAGTTACATCAACAATGCAGAGTTGGACATCAGCACTAACAGCAAGTCCCTTCCCAACCACACCTCGCCTGGAGATGAGTAAACAGCATTTTCAGATACTTCAATTTTACTGTAAAGTAACACACTTGCAAGGGAAGTAATTGGAAATATAAAAACATCTAAGGTTTAGTTCCTTAATTTTCTGACATCCCTGGTCCCTCACGCTCGGCCCCTGGGCTGTGACGAGCACGGCGACAGCAAGGCCCAGCTCCTTTTGGGATCCTGGATTATTGGCACAGGGATACAATGAGGATCATGGTGCTGCTGGTGGCACCAAAATCAATATGACAACGTCCTCCAATCCTCTACCTACAGCCAAGCAGTTCTCTCGGCTGAGAGCTGGCACAACCTCCCACCACTTGTACCGGCCTAAGCACAGGGGGAAGAACGAGTCACTCCAATACTGGATCAATTCTTTCTGCAAATTCTTAATAAAATATCTGATAGAGTGTGCCACTAACAGTTTATCACTGAATAATATCAATGGATATGCTAATTATCAGCCTGACTGTACTAATGGTTTCAGTTTAGCGCAGCAAGAGTGGAATAACTGACATATCGTTCCCGTTAACTTTGGTACTGAAGAATCAGTGTTTTATGATATTGCAGTTCCTTCACTGAAGCATTTTCCAAATATGAGAAAGGGAATTATACTAAAGCCTGAGGATTCTGAGAGGCAAAAGCTATGCCAAAGCATGTTGTTTGGTAACCTCATTTTCAGAGATGGCAAGCACCCAGATCCCAACTAAACCCAGGGAGGCTGGGAGGCTCGAATTTTGAGCATGATACTCAGAACAAAAATATTTTGAAAAATACAACATCACTGCTCTGGTCAAGCAATCCAGACAACACACATAAATTAAATCTTCCCCAGAAAGCCCCTTGACCGGCATCAGCAAGCAGCACACCCCCACTTGCAACACAGGTCAGCATCATGAGCTCACAGTTCACAAAGCTCCCCCAGCAGCAAGGACTCTGCACTTGGCCTCTCTGTGACTCTTATCATATAGAAACTGTTACCCCACACAACGGATTACAGGGTTATTAAGGTCTACACTAATCCAAAGTACAAACCCAGGGCAGCACAAGGCATCCATTCTTTTCCTATTTCATTGCACTATTCCTTCCCCTATTCTTGGGCCCATTTCCCATCCAGTATGGGCTTTGGAATAGAAGGCACATTCTGTGTTATATCCCTCTCATGTTGTTCCATATATATTATTTCTACTACAGTAGAAATTTTAGTTGTTTTATACTTGCTTTCCACAAAACAAATCCTAGCCGATGTGTCTTGCACAAGTAAAGAATGCATAAGGTATTTATAATCAATATAAGTAATTACAAAAAGCCATTATTTTTCCTTAGGGGAATATACTAATCCAGTTCTATTTTGTCACATGTAATCTTAAATCAGAGGTTACACTACTCCTTTAAGCAATAAATGCAGTGCAGACAACTAAAAATATTAAATAATTCATTTCTTCAATTTTCTCGACATTAAAACAGAACAGAGTTCCAAGGCACACTTTTGGCAAGTTACTTACAAATAAAACCAACACAGATGAGAACAACAGGATAGTACACAAAGTGGATCAAAAAAAAGCCCAAACTGGTCCTATTACAGCCAAAGGAGGATGGGGAGAGGAGCCATTTTAGGAGCTGTAATTCCTTAGTGTAGGAACACAGCAACCACTTTCAGAACCCATCCAACTTGCAGCCAGTTCCCCCTGCCACGTGTCTTATTTACAGCATCCTCATCTCCCCACAGCACCAGAAGGACATCAACCCAGACCTCCTACAAGACAGACTTCACCAACCTATCAAATCACTCGATTTCCTTGCACCTTTTTTGCCTTCTTTTTAAATGACAACAACAAAAATCTACCCCCCTAGCATCTTCTAATCTGCTACCAACACACAACCACCTTCCCTGGCCAAGAGGCAGCAAGCACACTGCACATCTGCAGTCAGGCAGCCTGCAAGAGCCAGGAAGAAATGTTGTTGGAAGTTGTTCTGCAGCTCTCAGAAGAACAGGCTAAAGAACAATAAACAATGGTTATTCACCAGAAGGTACACGAGAACAACCCACACAACGCTGACCTTACAAGCATGACAGCAAGGAAATCCACCTTCCCCTCAGCGCTCTCAAAGGCCAGCAAGCAATCACTGACCTTAGTGTAGGGGAAAACCCACAATCTAAGCACCTTCATCATTAAAAGTTCTAAAAGGCAGCCTGAAATCCTGAAATCCCTGAGGATAAGCACTTTCTCGTGTAACTCAACTAAAAAAAAAAAAAAAAAAAAGGCACCCACATAATTCCCTAGACATGCATAATTAAGAATACATCATTGCCCTTTTCTGGCAGAGTGCTTTCCCAGGGAAACTCAACTGCTCTCTAGAAGAGGAGAGCTCTGGCCTAGTCCCATGGCCGGGGAAGCACCAAAATCCTTCAGGATTCTGCACATCCCTCCAGTTCTCCGGTATCTACGTTATGCCCAGCCTCAACTCTGATTTCTTGCTTCCCCACCCCTTCCCATACATCCCACACACTGAACACCGTCCCTTCCATCCCACCTTCCAAGCTAAGCAATACCTACAGTATTTTTTTATTTTTTAATATGCACACAGTTCCACTGTAAAAAAAACCGCCTCTAATTCCTCCCCAAACCAGCCAGAAATAACCCTCCCGCAACAACAACCAGGGAAAGCTTGGCTTCCTTCTGCACAGGTAGAGAGACACCACCTTGAGAGAAGAAGACGTGTCATTTTTCTTTGTCTTTTCCCGCACAGGGACGAACCGAACGCTCTGAGCCCCCCCCCGAGGTGGGTTCCGAGCACACCCCAGCAGCACCACCTGCCGCGGCCGAGCCGGTGCCCGAGACCCCCGCGGGGATTACACCTGGACACATCCCCCGGCAGGGCGGGGAGGCCTCCTTATCCCCCACACCCCCGGGCTGGGCTCCCCTTCGCCGGCAGCACCGCGCTACCCTCGCTCCGCATTTACAGCCCCAAACACCACCCGCGGCCGCGCTGCTCGGAGCCCTCCCCGCTCCCGGCCGGCCTGGCCGCCTCCCCCGCCCCGCGGCCGGCGCGGCTCCCCAGGCGAGCCCGGTGCTGCGCAGGCCTCGCCGCCCCCCACGGTACCGTCGGCCGGGGCGCTGGGGCCCGGCTGGGCCATGGCTGGGCTGGGCCGGGCCGGGCCGGGCTGGGCTGGGCGGGCGCCGCCGCCGCGGCCTCCTCCGGGCGGAGACCGCTACGCCACGGGCAGAGCGACGGGAGCGGCCGGGCCGGGCCGCCGCCTCCTCCGCCTCATCGTGACAGCAGCGGCCGCCGGCGGCGGGAGGGGAGGAGGGACGGGCGGGAGGAGCGGGAGGAGGAGGAGGAGGAGGAAAGAAGCAGCAGCAGCAGGAGGAGGAGGAGGAGCCCCGCGCAGGCGCCAGCGGTGAGGGACGGGAACGGCAGCCCGGGCTGGGAGGGAGCGGGGTGAGGACGGGGACTGGGAGTGGGAACAGGGACGGGGAGAGGGAATAGGGAACTGGGAGAGGGACAGGGGCTGGGAACAAGGACAAGGGACAGGGACTAGGAACAGGGACAGGGCCTGGGAATACGGACAGGGAACAGGAGCTGGGAACAGGGACAGGGGATCAGGGACTGGGGACAGGGAGGGGGGACAGGGAACAGGAACTGGGAACAGGGATGGGGATCAGGGAGTGGGGACAGGGAGTGGGGACAGGGAGGGGGGACAGGGAACAGGAACTGGGAACAGGGACGGGGATCAGGGACTGGGAATAGGGACTGGATCCAGGGAGAGGGAGAGGGCCTGGGGACAGGGACTAGGAACAGGGACAGGGCCTGGGAATAGGGATTGGATCCAGGGACAAGGAGAGGGACTGGGAACAGGGACAGGGCCTGGGAATAGGTACAGGGAACAGAGACAGTGATTGGGATGTGAGAATAGTGAACAGGGACTGGGAATACGGACTGAGGACAAGGATGAGGAGAGGGACAGGGAACAGGGACAGGGGCTGGCAACAAGGGACAGGGAACAGGGGACAGGGACTGGAACACGGACAGGGTGAGGGTGGCTCATCGAGGGTCCCCACCCAGGCCGCTCCCCTCAGCACCACACCCCTGGGTCTGCAGCCTAAAGGCATAGTTAGTGTTTATTATTCAGGAAATTGGTTTAAGCAACGCTAAACAACACTATTCTGCCCCACAATCACAGACTCACTGAGGCTGGAAAACATCTCTGAGACCATCGTGTCCAATATTTGACCGATCGCCACCTTGTCGACCAGACCAGAGCACTGGGGGCCACGTCCAGTCATTCCTTGATGTGATGAGGAAGGAAGCACCTAAGAGTCATAAACAATCAGAAAGTTTTATTAGGAAATTATTAATTGAGGTGTGACCAGGGTGGGCAGTGGAAGGAGCCTGAGCAGCCACAGGGTCCCTTCCCCAGCACCCGTGGTTGGGCTTTAGTCGTTCCATCTAACTGGGAGAACGTGTCTAAACTTCAGGTTTTTACCAGTAAAATGGTAGATTTACATCATTTGAGCTCATGTAAAATCACAGAAAGCAGAGTTGGAGTGGAAATTACGATACCAAGTCCTGTCATGGGCAGGATCTCTTACGACTCACCTTTTTTATGGCTTACACACCCTAAAATCAGTCTCTTTTAAACTCAATCTCACTTATCACCACAGTTTTTCAGGCCTTGTCAAAACACATGGTACAGCAAGGCATGGGATTCTGCATTTCCTAATAAAATTTTGCTCAGTTAAACCAAATGAAAACCTGAAATAGGGAATCTCTGAAAATTATTCCGGTTTGCCCTTTTTGATCAGTCGAGGTAAATCTTCTCAAGTCTTTGCCATTTTAAAAAGCAGGCTTAGACTAAAGACTTAACTTTTCAGTGTTCCCAACTTGAGACATGCAGGGCTTGCTTTTTGTGGGTATTTGGAGAACCCAGAAGTGCCAACTGCTCACGGAATTGCTGACTTAGTGACAAGATGATCAAAGGATGAAGTATCTATCACTTGAGGTACATTTACACATTTCTTAGCTCCTGCTCAGGCTCTTTTACAAGTAGCTGGATATTACAAGCATTCAACACATAAATCCCTTTGAAAATCTAGTCCTGTGGGAACTGAGCTCTTGTAACTCTGCCCTGCTCTGTGTTCCTATGGGTACCCCAAAGCACCCACATTAGCACTTACTTTAATCTTGTTCGTGTTGAGGAAAAGCTCTGGCACGTTTTGGATGGTCCAGGATCACACTGAGTGCAGCATCACTCCAGCTGCAAATGGAAACTAGGATAATATCAAGCTTGATATCTGTTGTACCTACAAGTGCTTATTAAGGAATGAATATCGTATCACTTTCATCACTTCAATTGACAATTAGAATTGCAACATTTCAAAGCCTTTGTTAGAACTCCTGAGCTTACAGTCTGAAGGGGTTTTGTATGTAGTTTGAAGAATATAAAAACCCTCAAGGGGCTTGTACTTTCATTTTTTCCTGCTTGTTCTTCCATCTAGAGCTGTACTAGCTTTATAGGTATGGCTCTTACCTAATCTTTCCTGCTTTTTCTGGACAGTAATTGGACTTGGCAGAGGCAAAGGTTTAAGTGGTGTCTATCCAAATGTCTTCTAACCTGGAACAATTGAGTAACTTCCTCTGTGCCTCCCAGAATGTCCCATTTAATTCTAATCACTTGTAGTTCTTACAGCCTTGATCTCCGAGGATTTCCCAACATGACTCAGCTCAGTCTTAGAAGAGGTGAAGGAGGTTTGGCAGCAGTTTGCAGTCAGAGGAACTGTTGCAGTGCAGAACCAGCAGAGCCCAGGAGTCCTGGATGTCAGTCCCTGTGGTGTTCATGTTGGACAAGGGCAGTGTTAAGGAACCAGTGAGGCAGGTGAGCAGAGACTCTATCTGGAGTAAGCTTCTCCAGAGATAACACCCCTAAAATCCCATGAATTTTTATCAAATTTACTCGGCCTAAAAGTCTAACGTGGGTGCTTCCAGCATCAGCAGACACGAGTGAATGGAAGATGCATCTTCCTGGAGAGGATGTGCTGTGTTAGTACAGGAGGAGGAGCAGCTGTCCCCCTGCAGTCTGCCTGGAATTTAATCCTGTAGGGTTTCTGAAAGAGAGAAGTTTGCAGCTTTTGTTTGAGCAGGAACACCCAGGGCCAAGCAGTGAGTGTGAACACAGTGCAGTTGCTGGAGACCTGAGTGGGACTGGGGTTGTTTGGTTGCAAAGAGCACAGTGAAATAATTCACACAACTCACCTTGGAGAGAAGAGGTATTTTCTTTTTGCCAGAGGAAAATAAACAGGTGGAGAAAGAGATAAATAAATGTTTTCCTAATAGTTTTGTCTTGTGGTTGGTTGACTTGAGTGCATAGGGATGCTCAAGTTCCAAATTAAACTCCTCCTGCTTATTTTTTTGATCACATAGAGATTTTTTCTTTCTGTGTCTTTGCTTTTGCTTTTTTCCCCTTCTTTTCTTTTCCTTTAACTGGGGCTCTTTAACCTCAAGTGAAGCATCTCTTTTATTGAGGCTTTGAGGAACGTATTGATCACTGTCCTTACCTGTGAAACTAATCCCAGATCCTGGTTCTGGTTGAGTTACCTTGGCTATGTCCCAACTCCATGGCAGGACAGGACCCAATTGCATACCTTTTACTGCCACTTGCCACAGATTGCACAGCTTTGGGGGAGGCCACTGCACACTCCAGCAATCAGAGGGACAGGACTGTGGTCAGGCTGAGGAAGGTATGATCACAAAAGCTTTGTATTCACAGGAAGTGAGGCTAATAAAATACAGATCTAATTCCTTTAGCTTTGAAAGGTACAAGATACTATTGTTTTATATGCCTGCTAAGCCAATTCTACAAAACCCAGAGTCTTTAAAAGGATAAACTGAATTTCTGGGCATGCAAGGCCAAGGCTGCATCTGGTGTGAATCCAGTGGAAACAGGCTGATGTGTGGGAAATGAGAAGCTGGCCTGTGTAGAACAGAATCAAACTGGAGATCAAAAAGACCCCCTGAATTTTGCTCTTGCCCATTTCTGTTGCTTTACTGGCCAGGAAGAAGTTTGATTCTGCTGTGCCCTGAACGATGGGGGTTTGCAGTGAGTTACAGGCCCTGCTCCCCAGTGGAGTTCAACTCATAAACCACCCACTGCTTAATTCAATTAATCCAAGAAAGCTGAGTAAAGAGGTGGATTTGGAAAGCAGCTTTGTGGGTTGCTAAGACTAAACTCCACTGCAGTCACAGAGGAAAAGAATTCCAGCACTGGGGACACTCTGCCTCAGCAGGTGGGAGAGCTGATTTCCTCTCTCCCAGGTGACTCTCCCCGTGGGTGTTACACAGTGAAGAGTTTGGTAACAGTGTCCTTTGGACAAACCATGAAAGGGCATCATCTTCAGGTGAGTGCAACAAGAATGGTTCCAATGTGGAGAGCAAACATATGACCAGAAAAAAATGTGTGTTCTTAACTCCAGGTGAGGCCCAGGGAAGAAGCAGAAGTTGCAGCACACCCTTGAGGAGGGACTCGGTGCCTCAGGACAGGGAGCCTTGGCCTCATTCAAAAGGCAAGTGACAGCCTTGTCCTTGCAATTTACTGCTTGCACTTCATTTTCTTTTATTTCTACATTTGCCAGAGTTTTTCTACTGTTTTTCTCACTTATTATTATTATTATTATTTGTTTAAAATAAAGGGTTCAGAGTTTCCTAATTTTTTGAATGTTTGTTTTCCTTCTGGTGAGATTGATGGGTCATTAGCACAGCTATGAGTGTTTGTAGGCTTTGGTCCTTTCTCTTTAATGCAAAGCTTTTGGAGAAAATTTACATTCATCTAAGTATTACCATAAAGAGGTTGGTTAAAAATCCCAAACCAGTCATGCTCCTTGCTTCAGAAGTTATTCTGGAATGCGAGGAATTCAATCTGGAACAATGACATTATTTGCAATGGTAACTTCTTAGCGAACCCTGGAATAGTTTATGTGGTTAAAAACCTTTTCAAGAGCAATTGAAAAATTATGTTATCCCATCTATTGTTTAAAGGGTTCCATGTGGTACAGTTCTTTGAATATGTGGGAAGAAAATGAAGCCAAAAAACGAAAATTTGGCAGGCAAAAACCAAAGTGCTTGCATTGGCCCTAAATCCAGATATGTGCACATTAATGATCTCATTTGAAAGATGTCTATATTAAGATCTGAAAGGTCTCTGTGTTCCCAAGGGACAGGCTCATTGAATATTGTGATGTACCATGAAACTAAACAGTTTTTCTTATTTCTCACTTCAAAATAACCGAGGAGTCAGGAACTCGTTCTGGGTG